CAATCAAAATCACCTCTACTTCTATAATATGTTTTTAATTCTATCAAATGTGACTACAAAAAGGAGTATATAACCATAAAAACTATACGAAAATACACCCCAAAGTCGGCATTTTAATCCAAAAACACGGTTGGATTTTTTTTTTTCATTATGCACTACGTGCTGCAGGATTTTTTTATATGGTACACACTGACTACACAGATCCATTCTCTCACATATGAGCCTACCAGCTTTCTCCTGCTTGATTTGAAGCCGCTAGAATTTTTAGTATATATACGTCAAACAGAGTGGCTCGTAAGACAAATATACATGTATACGACCGAAACAGTCAAAGGGTTAATATTGTTTATTGTTATATTAGATGAATTGTGATAGATAAATAAGCTGCAGAGTTAATATTAGTGTTATATTGAAGGGCTATCTTGTCCTGCCTCCGAACACACTCCCCTGCTACCACCACAATTCCTAACATACGTAAAGACATATTTTATTCATACACCAACAACGATCTGTTGGAGTGTGAGCAGGGTAATATTTAGTGAAGGGATTCAGGGAAACCGGTTATTTTCATATAGTCGGACTTGAGTCCTGGAAATGGGAAGTACAATGCCTGCACTTTAAAGGAGGGGTTTGGGATATTGGCAGTTTGGAGGGATATGTTGTGTATCTTTATATGTGTATGCTTCTAAACTGTTGTATTCTGAGCACCTCTGCAAAAACAGTGATAATGTGCGAGTGTGGTGAAAGTGTTGAATGATAATGAAAGCATTTTCTTTTTGGGGATTTTCTTTCTTTTTTTTGGGTCACCCTGCCTTGGTGGGAGACGGCCGACTTGTTGAAAAAAAACAAAAAAAAAAAAATGTCTTCAATAAAGGTAAGTGTGACGTTGTTATTGTTTTATTCTTCATGTCTCATTGTTTTCTGTGTATGTAATTCTATATTTCATATAAAAAAATTTTTTTTGTTAATATTTTTGGTCTGAAATGGATTAATTGGATTTACATTATTTCTTATGGGGAAATGGTTTCACAAATCATCAATTTCGCCATGAGTCACAGTCTCTGGAACAGATTAATTACGAAAACTGAGGGTCCACTGTATTTAATTATTTAGCATATATTCGAATTTGACTAATATATTTTTTACTTACAGTGTTTCTGAAAAACAACACTTTCGACTTATAATGTTTCTTTTTTATTTTTTTTTTTTTATTATCACACCGGCCGATTCCCACCAAGGCAGGGTGGCCCGAAAAAGAAAAACTTTCACCATCATTCACTCCATCACTGTCTTGCCAGAAGGGTGCTTTACACTACAGTTTTTAAACTGCAACATTAACACCCCTCCTTCAGAGTGCAGGCACTGTACTTCCCATCTCCAGGACTCAAGTCCGGCCTGCCGGTTTCCCTGAATCCCTTCATAAATGTTACTTTGCTCACACTCCAACAGCACGTCAAGTATTAAAAACCATTTGTCTCCATTCACTCCTATCAAACACGCTCACGCATGCCTGCTGGAAGTCCAAGCCCCCCGCACACAAAACTCCTTTACCCCCTCCCTCCAACCCTTCCTAGGCCGACCCCTACCCCCCCTTCCCTTCCACTACAGACTGATACACTCTTGAAGTCATTCTGTTTCGCTCCATTCTCTCTACATGTCCGAACCCCTCAACAACCCTTCCTCCCCCCCTCTGGAAAACAGTTTTGGTAACCCCGCACCCCCTTAATTCCAAACTACGAATTCTCTGCTTTATATTCACCCCAAAACCATTGCCCTCAGAATGACATCTCCACGCCTCCACCCTTCCCTCGGAACATTCATCACCCACGCTTACACCCATAAAAGAGCGTTGGAAAACATATTTCCATACTTTCCCTCTTGCCTCCAAGGACAAAGTTTTTTGTCTCCACAGCTCCAAAGTGCACCATCACTCTTTTTCCCTCATAAAATTCTATGTTCCCCTCTCTTTCATAACCCACCCGCGACACGTCCACTCCCAAATATCTGAATACGTTCACCTCCCCCTTTTACTTCCCTCCAACTGATATTAATCTTTCATCCCCTAATCTTTTTGTTATCCTCATAACCTTACTTTTCCCGTATTTACCTTTAATTTTCTTCTTTTGCCCCCTACCCCAAAATTCATCACCAATCTTGCAAATTCTCTTTTAGAATCTCCAAGAGCACAGTGTATCGGGAAAGAGAGCTTGACAACTCCACTTTGTGTGTGATTCTTTTCTTTTTTAACTCCCGCCTCTTGCCAAGACCCCCGCATTTACTTCTCTTACAACCCCCTCTAAAATATATTAAACAACCACGGTGACATACCATCCTTGTCTAAAGGGCCAATTTTTCTGGGGAAAAAATTTCTCTTTTTTAATACTCTAAATTGAGCCTCACTATCCCGTAAAAAAATCTTTATGCTTTCAGTAACCCACCTCCTCACCATACACTTGCAACTCTGCCACATTTCCCCCCCACCACCCGTCATACGCCTTTTCCAAAACCCTAAAAGCCACAAAGACCTCTTTAGCCTTATCTAAATACTGTTCACTTATATTTTCACTGTAAACACCTGGTCCACACACCCCCTACCTTTCCTAAAGCCTCCTTGTTCATCTGCTATCCTATTCTCCGTCTTACTCTTAATTCTTTCAATTATAACTCTACCATACACTTTACCAGGTACACTCAACAGACTTATCCCCCTATAATTTTTGCACTCTCTTTTATCCCCTTTGCCTTTATACAAAGGAACTATGCATGCTCTCTGCCAATCCCTAGGTACCTTACCCTCTTCCATACATTTATTAAATAATTGCACCAACCACTCCAAAACTATATCCCCACCTGCTTTAAACATTTCTATCTTTATCCCATCAATCCCGGCTGCCTTACCCCCTTTCATTTTACCTACTGCCTCACGAACTTCCCCCACACTCACAACTGGCTCTTCCTCACTCCTACAAGATGTTATTCCTCCTTGCCCTATACACGAAATCACAGCTTCCCTATCTTCATCAACATTAACAATTCCTCAAAATATTCCTTCCATCTTCCAATACCTCTACCTCTCCATTTAATAACTCTCCTCTCCTATTTTTAACTGACAAATCCATTTGTTCTCTAGGCTTTCTTAACTTGTTAATCTCACTCCAAAACTTTTTCTTATTTTCAACAAAATTTGTTGATAACATCTCACCCACTCTCTCATTTGCTCTCTTTTTACATTGCTTCACCACTCTCTTAACTTCTCTCTTTTTCTCCATATACTCTTCCTCCTTGCATCACTTCTACTTTGTAAAAACTTCTCATATTGCTAACTTTTTCTCCCTTACTACTCTCTTTACATCATCATTCCACCAATCGCTCCTCTTCCCTCCTGCACCCACTTTCCTGTAACCACAAACTTCTGCTGAACACTCTAACACTACATTTTTTAAACCTACCCCATACCTCTTCGACCCATTGCCTATGCTCTCATTAGCCCATCTATCCTCCAATAGCTGTTTATATCTTACCCTAACTGCCTCCTCTTTAGTTTATAAACCTTCACCTCTCTCTTCCCTGATGCTTCTATTCTCCTTGTATCCCATCTACCTTTTACTCTCAGTGTAGCTACAACTAGAAAGTGATCTGATATATCTGTGGCCCCTCTTAAACATGTACATCCTGAAGTCTACTCAACAGTCTTTTATCTACCAATACATAATCCAACAAACTACTGTCATTTCGCCCTACATCATATCGTGTATACTTATTTATCCTCTTTTTCTTAAAATATGTATTTACCTATAACTAAACCCCTTTCTATACAAAGTTCAATCAAAGGGCTCCCATTATCATTTACACCTGGCACCCCAAACTTACCTACCACACCCTCTCTAAAAGTTTCTCCTACTTTAGCATTCAAGTCCCCTACCACAATTACTCTCTCACTTGGTTCAAAGGCTCCTATACATTCACTTAACATCTCCCAAAATCTCTCTCTCTCCTCTGCATTCCTCTCTTCTCCAGGTGCATACACGCTTATTATGACCCACTTCTCGCATCCAACCTTACTTTAATCCACATAATTCTTGAATTTACACATTCATATTCTCTTTTCTCCTTCCATAACTGATCATTTAACATTAACTGCTCCCTTCCTTTGCTCTAACTCTCTCAGATACTCCAGATTTAATCCCATTTATTTCCCCCCACTGAAACTCTCCTACCCCCTTCAGCTTTGTTTCGCTTAGGGCCAGGACATCCAACTTCTTTTCATTCATAACATCAGCAATCATCTGTTTCTTGTCATCCGCACTACATCCACGCACATTTAAGCAACCCAGTTTTATAAAGTTTTCTTCTTCTCTTTTTTAGTAATTGTATACAGGAGAAGGGGTTACTAGCCCATTGCTCCCGGCATTTTAGTCGCCTCATACGACACGCATGGCTTACGAGGAAAGATTCTTTTCCACTTCCCCATGGACAATAGAAGAAATAAAAAAGAACAAGAGCTATTTAGAAAAAGGAGAAAAACCTAGATGTATGTATATATATATATGCATGTGCGTGTCTGTGAAGTGTGACCAAAGTGTAAGTAGGAGTAGCAAGTATCCCTGTTATCTTAGCGTGTTTATGAGACAGAAAAAGAAACCAGCAATCCTACCATCATGCAAAACAGTTACAGGTTTTTTGTTTCACAGTCATCTGGCAGGACGGTAGTACTTCCTGGGTGGTTGCTGTCTACCAACCTACTACCTGACTTACAATATTTTCAACTTACGACATTTTCAACTTAACGATATTTTTGACTTACGATATTTTCGACTGACGATGTGTTTTGACTTACGATATTTTCAACTTCCAGTATTTTTGACTTATGATAGGTCTGTTGGAAAGTAACCCCATCATAGGTCAAGAAGCACCTGGCCACTGTATTATTCTACCTGATGAATAAATAACAGTTTACAAAGCAAGTGCTGAACATAAACATTTATATGGCATCACTATACTTGTGGTTCCAAGAGGGTTCAGGAGTCCTTCGTAGCCTTTGGATGGTGGCAGCATGGCGATGGAGACTCTCTCGTGCACAAGTTTATTACGGAAGTCAAACAGACTGATGTTACCCCAGGCCACCATGTAGTGTTCCTTCAATAAAAAATTTCATCATGATTACAAGAATGGTATACAATACTGACAAGATGAAAACTGAGACACATGTGCAACATCTGGGTACCTTTATTGTAGACATTTCACCATCCAGTGGCTTTATCAATACAGATTCTAGGACATAAATCTGAAGACAGTAGAATTATATACAAAAGGTGAGGTAATCAGTCCGTCAGCCTTGGAGTTGGTGTGATGAGCACCATAGTTGTGAAGATTCTGTATTGATAAAGCCACTGGATGGCAAAATGACTACAATAAGGATACCTAGATGTTGCACATGTCTCAAGTTTTCATTATGATTACAATAAAATATTCAATGATCAAATTTTAAAATCTGTCATCTTTTCAATACACTAAGAAAGTAAATGCTAATAATGTATTGGAATAATCTCCATGGGGAAGTGGAACAGAATTCTTCCTCTGTAAGCCATGCGTGTCATAAGAGGCGACTAAAATGCCGGGAGCAAGGGGCTAGTAACCCCTTCTGTATATATTACTAAATGTAAAAGGAGAAACTTTCGTTTTTCCTTTTGGGCCACCCCACCTTGGTGGGATATGGCCGGTGTGTTGAAAGAAAGAAGAAAGTATTGGAATAATACATCGAGATAGTAGATTAAGCCTCTGTTGCACAACATTTTGCTCAAAGCTTGAAAAGGTTCTACAGAATAAAAACACACAGTGCCATGACTGGAACATTACACAAATAAGCCTCACATAGGAGGAAGAAACTTATAACAACGTTTTAATCCGATTTGGACTATTAATTATTTCTTCTTCTTTCAACAAACTGGCCATATCCCACTGAAGCAGGGTGACCCAAAAGGAAAAACGAAAGCTTCTCCTTTTAAATTTAGTAACATATACAGGAGAAGGGGTTACTAGCCCCTTGCTCTTGGCATTTTAGTCACCTCTTATGACACGCATGACTTGTGGAGGAAGAATTCTGTTCCACTTCCCCAAAGAGATAAGCAGAAATAAACAAGAACAAGAACTAGTAAGAAGATAGAAGAAAACCCAGAGAGGTGTGTGTGTATATGTGTACATGTACGTGTTGGAGTGGTTGGTACTTTTGTTTAATAAATGTATGAAAGAGGGGAAGGTACCTAGGGATTGGCAGAGAGCATGTATAGTCCCTTTATATAAAGGGAAAGGGGACAAAAGAGATTGTAAAAATTATAGAGGAATAAGTTTACTGAGTATAAAAGGAAAAGTATACGGTAGGGTTATAATTGAAAGAATTAGAGGTAAGACAGAATGTAGGATTGCGGATGAGCAGGGAGGTTTCAGAGTGGGTAGGGGATGTGTAGATCAAGTATTTACATTGAAGCATATATGTGAACAGTATTTAGATAAAGGTAGGGAAGTTTTTATTGCATTTATGGATTTAGAAAAGGCATATGATAGAGTGGATAGAGGAGCAATGTGGCAGATGTTGCAAGTAATATGGAATAGGTGGTAAGTTATAAATGCTGTAAAAGAGCTTTCATGAGGATAGTGAGGCTCAGGTTAGGGTATGTAGAAGAGAGGGAGAATACTTCCCGGTAAAAGTAGGTCTTAGACAGGGATGTGTAATGTCACCATGGTTGTTTAATATATTTATAGATGGGGTTGTAAAAGAAGTAAATGCTAGGGTGTTCGGGAGGGGTGGGATTAAATTATGGGGAATCAAATTCAAAATGGGAACTGACACAGTTACTTTTTGCTGATGATACTGTGCTTATGGGAGATTCTAAAGAAAAATTGCAAAGGTTAGTGGATGAGTTTGAGAATGTGTAAAGGTAGAAAGTTGAAAGTGAACATAGAAAAGAGTAAGGTGATGAGGGTATCAAATGATTTAGATAAAGAAAAATTGGATATCAAATTGGGGAGGAGTATGGAAGAAGTGAATGTTTTCAGATACTTGGGAGTTGACGTGTCGGCGGATGGGTTTATGAAGGATGAGGTTAATCATAGAATTGATGAGGGAAAAAAGGTGAGTGGTGCGTTGAGGTATATGTGGAGTCAAAAAACGTTATCTATGGAGGCAAAGAAGGGAATGTATGAAAGTATAGTAGTGCCAACACTCTTATATGGACGTGAAGCTTGGGTGGTAAATGCAGCAGCGAGGAGACGTTTGGAGGCAGTGGAGATGTCCTGTCTAAGGGCAATGTGTGGTGTAAATATTATGCAGAAAATTCGGAGTGTGGAAATTAGGAGAAGGTGTGGAGTTAATAAAAGCATTAGTCAGAGGGCAGAAGAGGGGTTGTTGAGGTGGTTTAGTCATTTAGAGAGAATGGATCAAAGTAGAATGACATGGAAAGCATATAAATCTATAAGGGAAGGAAGGAGGGGTAGGGGTCGTCCTCGAAAGGGTTGGAAAGAGGGGGTAAAGGAGGTTTTGTGGGCAAGGGGCTTGGACTTCCAGCAAGCGTGCATGAGCGTGTTAGATAGGAGTGAATGGAGACGAATGATACTTGGGACCTGACGATCTGTTGGAGTGTGAGCAGGGTAATATTTAGTGAAGGGATTCAGGGAAACCGGTTATTTTCATATAGTCGGACTTGAGTCCTGGAAATGGGAAGTACAATGCCTGCACTTTAAAGGAGGGGTTTGGGATATTGGCAGTTTGGAGGGATATGATGTGTATCTTTATACGTATATGCTTCTAAGCTGTTGTATTCTGAGCACCTCTGCAAAAGCAGTGATAATATGTGAGTGTGGTGAAAGTGTTGAATGATGATGAAAGTATTTTCTTTCTGGGGATTTTCTTTCTTTTTTTGGGTTACCCTGCCTCGGTGGGAGACGACCGACTTGTTGAAAAAAAAAAAAAAAAAACATGTACGTGTAGTGTGACCTAAGTGTAAGTAAAAGTAGCAAGACGTACCTGAAATCTTGCATGTCTATGAGACAGAAAAAAGACACCAGCAATCCTACCATCATGTAAAACAATTACAGGCTTCTGTTTTACATTCACTTGGCAGGACGGTAGTACCTCCCTGGGCGGTTGCTGTCTACCAACCTACTACCTAGGTATTAGCTATTTGTGTACTGAAAAATCTCTACTTAAAGTGAAAAGTTAAGCTTGAAAAATCTCATGTCTTTGTATTATTCTGTCAGTATTCTGCCTTCCAACTTAGGTCACTGGAGGTAAGATATTTTTTTCCACTTGTCCTAATGCCTGCCTAGTAAAAGTTTCATTATATTTAATCATTTCTTTTCCTCTTATTCTAGCTATACTATACACATCGGACATCTCCCACCATGGCAGGGCAGCCCAAAAACAACAGAAACCACTTTCACTGTCATTAATAGCAAATCATGGAACATGTGGGGCTTCTACCCTTGGGGAGCAAGTCATAAAACTCCAGGCGCACCAGCTCTGTGGTTTCTTTTGTCAGATAACCCTCTAAACTGTTACATCCCACCCCTTCTACAGAGTGCAGGCACCATACTCTTCACCTCCAGGACTCAAGTCTGGCTAACTGGTTTCCCTGAATCCCTTCATAAATGTTTCTGCTAACATGTGCTGTAATTATGATAATTAATTCTACATGATGTTGTAACCACTTTCATATATTACTGTGCATGTATGCGAAGTACACTTCATAAGTGCTGAAGCATGAAGTTACATGAAAAATCTGGGTCCTATGTGTCATGAAATTTTTCCCCTTGCCCAAATTATGCCTAAGAGTCGAGTGTTTAGAGAGGCACAGCTCCTCCTCCTCCCCTACAGTGACTTCCTAGCATCATCACATACATAGCTCTTCCCACTGCCTACAGTGACTTTCTAGGATCATCACATACACAGCTCCTCCCACTGCCTACAGTGACTTTCTAGGATCATCATATACAATAATCAATCCATGATTATCAAACAAATTTGGATCTTTTCATTAGCCCATCTCATCTCTGGATATCAGCCATGGCACCTAAGAAAAATACTGACAATGCTGAATGGGCCATCAAGAATAAGCATGAACCTTTGATGGTATTGAAGAAAATGGAAATTTCAGATATGCTACAAAGTGCAGCATGTGAGACGCAGATTGCCCACACTTTTGACTACAGAGAATCCAACATCTGTATAATCAAGGATAAAAAGAAAATAAGAGCATGCAGAGAAGTCAATATAGATAAATGAAACAGACAAGTCACCTAATGTGTAAAGTGAGATAACAAAATGAAGGCACCTACTTATTCATCAGACAATAACACACAAAGCCCTAGTGTAGTACAATTAACCCTCCATTTAATTGACAATTACATAACAAATATCACATCTATCCACTGAGAGTTTACTGTATAAAACTGAATGAGAGGAAGGTGAGCCTTTAAAGAACAAAAAAATCACAATACTGTGACTGGAACAATACACAAATAACCAGCATGTAGGAGAAAGAAACTTATGACTATGTTTCAGTCCAACTTGGACAATGTATTAACTAGTCATACAGACTGGTTAATGGTTCAAATCAGAACGAAACGTCATTATAAGTTTCTTTCTCCTACGTGTGGGTTATTTAACCATTTCAGGGTCTGTGCCGTAGATCTACGGCTTTGAGTTGAGGGTCCAAGCTGTAGATCTACACCATGAGTTCAGCTCACTCTGATAAGCTGTGAGCAGTAAATTTGTGCCTAGATCTCAGAGAATACATCTATGTGGTATGTGTGCACCACATAAAACAGATCCTGCAGCACACAGTGTATAATGAGAGAAAAAAAAACTGAGACGGTAATTTTTTATTAAAAGAGATTTTGCAGTGTTTTTTCGTATGCTTTTTATAGTTGTATTTGCGATTTCTTGGTCTCATTTGATAGAATGGAAGATATATTACAGAAATAGAGATAATGTTGATTGATTTTAGAATTGGAAATGGCTTGAAACTGAGCTCAAAGTATCAGAAATGTTAAATTTTTGCCGATGTTCAAGAGTAAACAAATGACCTCACACGTCTAATACACGCCAGCTGGTGGGTCTAATATACGTTCACAAATGTGGTGATATTATTTATACAATTATTATAATATTGCATAACAGTAAATCTTCTATTTTTGGTTTGAATAAAAATTCATTGTGAATAAAAAATCAAAATGGAATTCATTTGTAAAGCCTGAAAACATAACTGATGAACAGAGGAAATGTTAGTTTAGTGCCAGGAATGCCTACATTGTTTATTCTGGACCCTATTTTGAATTTGGAATATTCTGAACTTTGTGTTAAATTGGCCAAATTACCAATTTCCGATCACTTTATTTTGTAGTTGAAACAGTTGACTGGGCAATTTCTTGTGTTCAATTGATAGAATAGAAGTAATATTAGTGAAATAGCTAAGAATTTGGTCGACTCGAATAATGCAACTGGCCTAACCTGAGAGTCAAAGTCGGTAAATATCGCTGACACATCAAAATTCGTGAGAGCATAATTTCGTCAGTTTTCTATAAAATTTCGTACTTTTTGTTTTATTACCTTCAGAAAAAGATTCTCTACCATTTCATAAAAAAAAAAAAAAAAAATTTTTAAATTCTTGGACCCTGGTGCACACTATGAAATCTGCCCTCTGGACCCTGAAAGGGTTAAGTAAGATAAACCTATAATTATATTGAATCCTCAGCACTCCATGCACATCCCTACCATATACAACAACTACAATGTAAGGTAAGATGAACAGCAATACTATGTACCTAGCAGATTATCCAAAAAGAAATCACTTCAATAACTTTGGAGTGTATAGGTAGTTGGTTGGTAGACAGCAACCGTCCAGGGAGGTACTACCATCCTGCCAAGTGTAAAATGGAAGCCTGTAATTGTTTTACATGATGGTAGGATTGCTGGTGTCCTTTTTTCTGTCTCATAAACATGCAAGGTTTCTGGTATGTCTTGCTACTTCTACTTACACTTAGGTTACACTACACATACATGTACAAGCATATATATACACACCCCTCTGGGTTTTCTTCTATTTTCTTACTAGTTCTTGTTCTTGTTTATTTCCTCTTACCTCCATGTGGAAGTGGAACAGAATTCTTCCTCCGTAAGCCATGCGTGTTGTAAGAGGCGACTAAAATGCCAGGAGCAAGGGGCTAGTAACCCCTTCTCTTGTGTAAATTAATAAATTTAAAAAGAGAAACTTTCGTTTTTCTTTTTGGGCCACCCTGCCTCGGTGGGATACGGCCGGTTTGTTGAAAGAAGAAAAGAAGAACTTTGGAGCATCTAGAACGTAACCTTATTTCTCCCATATGTTCTTCATTTCCTATGACATCAATTTCCATAAGGCACTAAATTTCAGGAATGTATCCAATGCATTACAAAAGGGCTTATAACAATTATTTTCTAAAGATAAACCACATTTTGTAGCTATGTTCATTGTGTCCTCTTGCTTTACCTTTGATGAGTTTGAAGTTTTTCCACCCCCCAGAGCTTGGCAGTGGGCTAACCAAACACCGTCAAAGATTGCTAACACAAAACAGGTCAGCACTCCATAACACTATGACACCTATTTTTAAACAAGTTAACTAATGACTGTATGAATTCCTGGTTTGCAGACAAGAAGATGAATTTACCATTTCTTTTTTCTTCTTCTTGTCTGTGTGTCGCCGCTCAGAGCACACTGACAGGCAGAGTTTTGCCCCACGAGGAATTTCCTGAATGGGTAGGTCAAATTGGATCCATTCACCCCACGAAGGGTTGTGTCCGGTCACGTACTGTGTTTCACGAATGACACACAACGCATCACTCCCATGAAAAACTCCTGCTCGCACACATATCTGCAAGAGAGAAGACAGGGATGAAGAGAAAACAAAATTAAAATTTTTTCAAAACATAACTTCCTGGTCACCTCCCTAAACAATGACAGAAAACCTTCCATATATAAAATTATTAGGGGGGAAAAGGGTGGATGGTAACAACAATCATGGCAGATAAAAAAGAGACTGTTTTGCAGCGATACAAGCAATAACTGACAAGAACAAAAAGGCACAATACAGTGACTGGAACAATACACAAATAGCCTGCACATAAGAGAGCGGAGCTTATGACATTTTGGTCCGACTTGGGCCATTTACAGAAAAGGGTGAGGTAGTCAATATATATGTGAGCGGGACACAGACGGGAACAAGAGAGGAGGAAGAGGAAGCAATGGTAGTGGTAAGGTAGGTAGTGGAAGTAGTAGTACTAATAGTAGTAGAAGAAACAGTGATAGCAGAAAGCAGGGAGAGTACTTCAGTGACAGAAGAGAGATAGGGGAGTGAAGGGAGGCAATAGTAAAGGTAGTAGCAATAGTAGAAGAATGGAGTGGAAGACATAGTGGAAGTGAGGTCAATTTAAGGACAAGAAAAAGGATCACTATAGGAGAGCTAAGGACCCACAAGGGGTAAGACTAATATGCAGGAGGGGGTGAAGGGGCTGACATACAGAACACACTTGGGCAAAAAAAGAACAACAAGTAAAGAAAAAGGAAAAAAAATGGGAATGGAGAAGAGGTAGGGAAAGGAGAGGAAAGAATCAGGTTAAATCACTGAGTTTCAAATTGCTCCAAACTCAGAACACTCAAGCTTTAACCTGATCCTTTCTTCTTCTTTCATATTTTGTTCCTCTTCTTTCTTTAGCCCAAGTGTGTTCTGTATGTCAGTTCTCCTCCCCCCTACATTTTTGGTCCTACCCCTTGTGGTCCTTAGCTCTCTTGTAGTGCTCCTTTTTCTTGTCCTTGTACTGACCCCACTTCTATTATGTCTTCCCTCCATTCCTGTATTACTGCTACTATTTTTTTTCTTTTAGCTGTGGATGGAATGTGCCACCATAAAATAATGGCTAGGATGGCTGGGCGTGATCTGGTCTTCTCTTCCACTCCCACAGCAGAATCTTCTCCGGAGGGGCTAAACGGTATAAGCCACCCCTCTCAGCATGCGGTTAATCTGTAGGAATGGGGCTAAACGGCTCTTAGGCCATGCCATTAAGAGTGCGTTCTCCACTGTAATATCGATCCCTCCAAGGCTTTTACATTATATAGCTCAATCTCTGATGACCCAATCCTGAGATATTTATTCAGGATTGTATATGACTTAGGGGTCATCACTCCTCTCCATGTTATAATCACTGTTCCAACGGTTATACTATTGGGATCTATGGACTGGCTGTCTTCTCGTTGAGGCAACTCCTCATTGTCCTGCTGTGTATGACGTAAGTGTAGCTGCTGAGTCGCCCATCTTGCAGTCCAGTTTCGAATTTGCCCGGTATCATAGTACGCAGCCTTCTGTTGATATTGTTCCGCTATAGTTGATATATCTGAATCACTTGCTATTCTGACATCCATCACAAAAGCCTTCTTATTTTCCACGTTACATATAATGAGATCAGGCTTCCGTGTACTGTCAGCAGTAGGTACATGTGGCTCCTTCATCAGAGCATGCTTCTTTTCAGTACAATCCAGTGCAATAGCATCAACTATGTTGTCATACCTGCGCACTTGCTGTCAGTGAAGTCTTGGACACACGTGGAGGAGATGACCTAGCGATTTTTGTTGACATCCATCATAGGTAGTATTTATTTGTCTAGCTCCCCTTGAAAGTTGCATTTTAGTAGGCATTATATTATGCTTTATCTTTATACCAGCTATATATGTAGCTCCTTTCATAAGGCCAGTTCCACTTGATATCCACTTGTGGACTTGAGGGACGAGATGATGTTCCTTTAGACCCGCTCCATCAATGGAACCCACTAAAGCATTCCTCCACTCCTTTAATTCTTGTCTCCTTGTTGTTATCACAACTTTCTTAATCCTGCTCTTACCAATAAATTTTAATGATTTAATCATATTAGGATAATGGCTAAAGCCCTTTATAAAAGGATCATCAGTTATGAAAGGCATTCAACTTACTTTTCCGTAATATTAAGGACTCGTGTCGATAAACAAACATGTCCCAAGCCTCCGGCGGCTGTTGGAGCATAGAAAACACCAATAGGGGAGTCCTTCAGCAGCTTAAGTCACTTTTTAACCATCTATCTGATCTCTTTGTCTGATGTTCTTAGGGTGTTTTGACAAATGCCACCCAGCACCATTGTATGGATAATGCCAGGTATCAGATGTTTATTCAGCAGAAACATATGTTGTTGTGGCTTTAGGGAATCTTCATCCAATGATGTCAATTTGTCCCTTAACTATTGCATATTTGGCTTTCCCCTCCCAGATGAGAAGAAATGCATTCCTAGGTCCTTGTAGATCGCTGATGGTTGCAATGCTTGCACCTGCACTCCATTTATTTCTGTTTTATTACTTTTATCCACATACCACTTCTTGGGCTTTGGCATCATCTTTCATCTTCAACATGGTACACTTCTGTGGATTCACTTCTAAGCCAGACACTGCAAGATTGCTCCAAAAGGTGTAAAGTTGGGCATTAAGGCCATGCTCAAACTCCACCACTAGCACATAATCATCAGCAAAGGCAAGAGCAGATATCCTCATATCGCAACCAGACAAGGGCCATCCAACCTGTTCATCCATAGCCATTAGAGCTTCGTTTATAACGATATTAAATAAAATACATGACAGAGGATCCCCATTTCACTCCTCTGTTAACATTTCCATCCACACCTAACACACTGGTGGATGCCTCAATATATGTTGATATTATATATTTCCCAGTAAAAGTAGGCCTTAGACAGGGATGTGTGATGTCACTATGGTTGTTCAATATATTTATAGATGGAGTAGTAAGAGAAGTGAATGCTCGGGTGTTGGCAAGATGTGTGGGGTTAAATGATAAAGAATCTAACACAAAGTGGGAGTTGTCACAGTTGCTCTTTACTGATGACACTGTGCTTTTGGGAGAGACTGAAGAGAAGTTGCAGAGGTTGGTTGATGAGTTTGGTAGCGTATGTAAAAGAAGGAAGTTAAAAGTGAATATTGGAAAGAGTAAGGTGATGAGGATAACAAAAAAATTAGGTAATGATAGATTGGATATCAGATTGGGAGAAAGAGAGCATGGAGGAGGTGAATGTGCTCAGATATTTGGGAATGGACATGTCAGCAAATGGGTCTATGAAGGATGAGGTGAATCATAGAATTGATGAGAGGAAAAAGGTAAGTGGTGCACTGAGGAGTCTGTGGAGACAAAGAACTTTATCCATGAAAGCAAAGAGGGGAATGTATGAGAGTATAGTTATACCAATGCTCTTTATGGGTGTGAGGTATGGGTGGTGAATGTTGCAACAAGGAGAAGGCTGGAGGTGGTGGTGATGTCATGTCTGAGGGCAATGTGTGGTGTGAATATAATGCAGAGAATCCATAGTTTGGAGATTAGGAGGAGGTGTGGGATTACCAAACTATTATCCAGAGGGCTGAGGAGAGGTTATTAAGATGGTTTTGACATGTAGAGAGGATGAAACAAAATACAGTGGTCCCTCGTTTTTCGTAATTAATCCGTTCCTGGAGACGTTACTATAAACGAAATTTACGATTTGCGAATCAATTTTCCCCATAAGAAATAATGTAAATACAATTAATCCGTTCCTGACACCCAGAAGTATTAAAACAAAAAAATTTTTTACATGAAATATACATGTAGTACATAAACAATACAATGGGAAATGATGAATGAAACATTAACAGCGTAACACTTACCTTTATTGGAGATTCTTCTTAGTGTATGGGGGACTGGAGGAGGAGAGAGATTGGATTGTTTACAGTTTGGAAGGGGAATCCCCTTCCAGCAACACCTCAGGTACCAATTGCTTCTCTGGGGTTGCTTCTCTTCTCTGTTTCTTAATGCCACTTGGACCACCTTGAGAGTCACTCTAGTCCTGTCTCGCAAAGTAACTGTAGAGAGAGCTCTGTTTCTGGCCTCTCTAACACTTCCCTAAAATGGCCCAAGACTTTGTCACTGTACATATTTCTCATCTTCTTTACCACAGGCTTGGCACTAGGAGCTTTCTTTGGAGCCATGGTAGCTTATTTAGTACTTGCAAGCACTAAAATGAGTGGAATATTATGAAATATTTCGTAGGAGCACTTGAGGGGACCTTCACTCACTGGTAAACAATGCCAGACTGGCTGGGTAGGGAGGCCGCCCCGGCTTACACCGTGCATACGGGTCCTGGACGAACTACTATTCGCGAGTCAACCTATGAAAAGCGAGTCCATGTTTATACGAAAATACCCCTATGATTGGCAAAATTTACGATTGCCGAGAACTACAAAAAACGAGGGACCACTGTAGAATGACTTCAAGAGTATACAAATCTGTAGTGGAGAGAAGGCAGAGTTGGGGTCGGCCTAGGAAAGATTGGAGGGAGGGGGTAAAGGAGGTTTTGTGTGCGAGGGGCTTGGACTCCCAGCAAGCGTGTGTGAGTGTCTTAAACAGGAGCGAATGGAGACGAATAGTTTTTAGAACTTGACGTGCTGTTATAATGTAAGCAAAGTAACATTTATGAAGGGATTCGGGGAAACCAGCAAGCCGGACTTGAGTCCTGGAGATGGGAAGTACAGTGGACCCCCGCATAACGATATTAATCCGTTCATGAGAGCTCATTGTTATGCGAAATTATCGTTATGCGAATGAATTTTCCCCATAAGAAATAATGGAAATCAAATTAATCCGTGCAAGACACCCAAAAGTATGAAAAAAAAAATTTTACCACATGAAATATACATTTTCCTACACACAAAGAGAAGGATACATGCACAATAGTAGAGTAGTACATGCACAATATATATTGTGCATGTACTACTCTACTAAATGAAGAATAAATGACACTTACCTTTATTGAA